GTAAGGGCCGGTGAGCAGTGAGGGCCGGTGGGCAGTGAGGGCCGGGAGGAACCGGGAGGGCCTGCCCAGAGGTGAGCAGGGAGAAGCCACTCGGCAAGACCAGGCTGAGCGGGAGCCCGTGAGCACAGAGCGCCACCACCAGCCTCTCGCAGCGTGTACAGGGAGAGGCTGAGGCTCAGTGCCTGCCCCAGGGCAGGGTTTCCAAATCGAGGATCATGACCTTCCCGTGGGTGATGAAATCAATCAGCAGGTCAAGATAAGCATTTAAAAAACATAGTAAGAATGAAAAACACCAACAACACAAAACCCGAGTACATCAGCCCTGGTCACAGCGTGTTCTGGGGATTAAATTATGAAATGTATTCCTTATCCACGTGGTGAAGAAACTTCTAGGGAGTCCTCGCTGTTCCTGGAATGGTTCTGTCCGGGGGCATAGAGATCTGGCTGACGGTTTGGGGTGAGGGAGGGGACAGTCATGGGGCAGTCTGGGGACACTCACCCTCACACCGGCGCTTGTCAGGGGCCAGCTCGTACCCAGGGTCACAGCTGCACTTGTAGCTGCCCAGGGTGTTGAGGCACCGCTGCTCACAGCCCCCACGGTTGGGCCGAGAGCACTCGTCCACTTCTGCGGGTAGGAAGGAACGGGTATCAGTGACTCCCAGGCAAGAAGAGTCCCTCCTCCTCCTCCTGCTTGGGAGTCACATCCAGGGTCCTGTGGCTTCCTGTGATGGCCCCCAGCCCCATTCTACAGTGGGCAGTCGGTCGTGAGCCACTCAGCTGGGAGGCCGTGGCCTTCTGGCCACACCCAGCTCTCCATGGCACTCAGGACCCACTCAGTCCCCAGGGGGTACTTCTTATGAGAGCCTCAAAGGGACAGGCAGTACCCTGAAGCAGGGGCAGGGGGACCTCACAGTCTTTTCTCTGACCACACCGTTTACCGGTGCCTCAGGCAGAACACCCTGTCCGAGGTCACATGGATGCCTCCTCCATGCTGCCCTGCTTCCTCCCTGAGCGCCAAGGTGCTTCCTGCCTCGGGCCTCCTCTGCTCTCTGTACAAACTTCTGGGTGTGAAGGCAACGCCTGAATTGTCATCTCAATTCATAGTCGAGCGTCTGCCACAGGCCAGCTCCTTGTGCTTGCTCTGTCATTTACTGCAGTTTTTCTGAGGGGTTGAGCTTTTCTCCCCATTTAGGCCATACATTCCAGGGCAGGGCGCTAGGTCTGTGTGTCCCTCTTTGTGTTGAATGAGTGAATGAAGAAGGAATGAAGTCATCACAGCACTGTCTACAACAGCCAAGATGTGGATGGACACAGACTAAAGGTCCATCAGCAACTGTGCCTGGGGTCAGCCATACTGTACTGTACACTTAAAAATGTTCAGAGGGTAGTTCACATGCTAAGAGTTCTTATCCAATAAAATACGATTTTTTTAAAAAATTAAAAGAAGGAATGGAGAAGACGGATTGGCTGTGGAAGTGGGAGGGGGAGGGACCCGGGAAGGCGGCACCTTTGAAAAAGTTGACAGCAAAACCGGCTTTGTTAATGGAGCCGTCAGAGACGAACTTGAGCCAGAGGCGGCTGGAGGTGCTCTTGATGTCATCAGGCTTCTCGTAGCCACAGTAGCGCCCGATGAGGGTGCTGCTCTCACTGTGCCCGTCCCGCACCTCCAGGTAGTCATAGGCGCAGCTGTCGTGGCGCTCAATCTGGGGGTCAGGGGCCCAATCAGCGGAGGAGCTCTGGTGGCCAGCACCCAGCACCCGGAGCCCATGGAGAGGTGGGCGGCCCTGGGGGCAACTGGGGCGTGAAAGGGTCACAGGGCCTCTGACCTACCTCGAAGGACTGGAAGGTGAGGCCCACATGGAAGCCCTCGGACACCTGGATCCGCCAGATGCAGACTTTGCTGGGCCGGTAATCATCTGGGTAATTGGGCGACTGGATGTGGCCATTGTCCTTTTTCACATCTCCCCCGCAGATGGCTTTGGGGACACAGTGTCAGGCGGGGAAAAAGGGAGGTCAGTGAGAACACGCTCTGCCTTGCCCAGGACTCCTTCTCCCCCCTCCTCCAGCCCTTCCCACATCCCCCCAGCTTCCCAGGGCCCTCCTTCCCCTCCCAGCCAATCCCATGGGATCTCTTCTGGTGCCAGGAGGGGGTGGTTCTAGGATGCCAGGGACCCCATATATCTGACCACCCCCCACCCCATTTTCACCCTCAGTACCTTCATAGATTGCAAAGAAGCCCTTCCCGACCCAGTTGCTACTGCTTCGGAATTCAACCCAGAGGCGGCTGTCCGTGGAGACGATAGGCTCAGGGAGTTTGCCCCCGCAGAAGCGGCCTGTGAAGATGGTGTGGGCAGAGGGGCAGTGAGGCCCGAACTGAGCCCCCCTCTCCTAATCAAACCAGCCTGTCCCTCCGGAAGCCCCACCTCTCTGAGGGACGCAGGGGCTTGGGCTCCGGTCTGCACTGGGCACACATTCCCAAGACCGCACACCCTCCAGGGGGCCTGTGCCTGGTCCAAGGGCCAGCTCGGCCTTGAAGAGCCAGAGAGAGACCTTCTAGAGCAGCGGTCGCCGACCTTTCGGACCTCACGGCCACCAGTGGTCCACGGACCACCGGCTGGCAACCGCTGTTCTAGAGGATTTCACGCACTTGACTGAGGGATAAGATAGGAGTCTTTTTCTGGGAGGAAAGGTGATTCCGCACAATAACCAACTGAACATGTGTTTTATTTACGTTTTTTTCTTTTGTTTCTTTTTTTCTTATCCTGCCTCCTCTCCCCGCCCCCTCGCCAGTATTTACGTTTTCTAAAGAGCACATTACCTTTGTTATTTATTTTTTCTTATTTGATCTCCATGTAAACAATAACCGAGAACCAAAACAGTTTTCCTTGTACGTTATAAACTGTGTCATTTGATTCAAAGCAGGCATTGCCACAGGACCCCAGATAAATCCCGGAATCCGGAGACTGGTTCAGAAAATGCTCCCCTTGAAATAAAATCCGACAAGAACCCCCACAGGCAGATGAGGCTGCCCATCTGTGGGGTTCTTCACAGGCAAGGATCAACCAGGGATCTTCCTGGTAAGTGGGTGTTTCCCAGCTTTCAGCAAGGGACAGAGGGCGTTGAACTAGGAATGTAAGTTATGAAAATAAACGGCAGTCTTGGCAACGCTCACATGTCTGCAGGACAATGTGTCGTAATAACAGCTGCTTTAGGTAATGAATAAGAAGTTTCCAACGCCAGAGACTGGGGGGAAGATATGGTAAGCAAGGATTTGTCAGCCCGCTGGAGGCACGGGCTGTGGGACAAAGGTCCCAACGCTAACAACTGGTCCCGAGCGGCCTGGGGGCCCGCCCACACTGGAGAACAAATCTCACAGCTCCTCAGGCTGGGCGCCAATAGCATCTCATTATGCCTCTCTTCAGCCTAACTCCGTACAGTGGGGCCTTGACTTGCGAGTTAAATTTGTTCCATGACGGAGCTCGTAACTCAAATTACTCATATGTCAAATCTTAAAGTGAACAAGTGAGACACATGATGCTGGGCTGATGTTGTGGCGTTCACTGTGACGTTCGCTGCGCCAACTAGCGGTGGGATATCTGAAGCTGGCTCGTAACCCGAATTTTAGCTCGCAACTCAAAGCAAAAAATCGGCCGAGAGATGGCTCGTATCTCGAAAAACTCGTTAGTCGGAACACTCGTAAGTCAAGGCCCCATTGTATTTACTTATTTATTTTGGTTAATCCTCACCCAAGGATATTTTTCCATTGATTTCTAGAGAGAGAGGAACATCGATGTGAGAGAGACACATCGATTGGTTGCCTCCCACATGTGCCCTGACTGGGGATTGAGTCTGCAACCAAAGTACGCGCCCTTGACTAGGATCAAACCTAAACCCTTCAGGCCGAAGGCTGATGCCCTACCCACTGAGCTGAACCGGCTAGGGTTGACCGAACTCTATGTCTATTAAAGCACCTCTGTTCTGCGGTTCTGGCCCACTCATTTCCTACTTACTCATCCCCCCTCAAGGAGAAAAGCACCCTCTGCAAATGAGTGTGGGTCTCTGCTACGTGGGGTGGCCCTCGTGGTGGACCAGGCAGCACCGTGGGCACCCTCAGGCCGGACCTTGCAGACAGAGAAAACAAAGCCTCTGAAACTGCCCAGGTGAGGAAGGGAACCCGGGACTTGGGATGTGCAGAATAGCTTGTCCATTTCTGTCAACTCAGATGCCTCCCTGATCCTTACATTGACGGCCACCAGGAGGGGGGCCCGGAAGCCTGTACCAAGGACTGTGAGGTCCAGACTGGGAAAGGGACTTGCCCAAAGTCCCCCGCTAGTTAGTGATGCAGCCAGCGGGCCGGGTTCCCGCAGGGTGTCGCCCTTGGCCAGGCGTTGGGTCCCAGGGGGGGATGAGGTAGTTCTAAGGAGCAGTCAGCGGACGAGGAGGCCGGGGTGGGCTATGCGTTACCTCGGAGGGGCGCCTTCCTCCAAAAGCCATCTCGGACCTCCACGTAGTCGTACCAGCACAGGCGGCTCCGGTACAGGTCCATGGATGTGAAGTTCAGAATGATCTAGAGGAGAAGGGAGGAGGGAGAGGGTTATGTGGCTCCTCACACCTCATGGGCCTCGCCCTCCAGCCCCAGGACCGCTGTCCTGCTTTTGTGAGGCGGTTTGCTCTGGGTAATAAATAGTTAAAGGTTCCAAAAAGGAGTTTCTGGCACAGAAATATCACCTCTCCCCAGCCGTTGGCCTGTGTCAGTCAGCATTCTTCCAGGTACCACAGGCCAGTCCTCACTTAAAATGCATGGCCCGGTGAGCATGTGTATGAGACCAGCAGGCTCAGCTTCCTGGTTCCCTCAGGGAGGAGCCGTTGCTTGGGGTGGCACCCAGCTCTCCCTGTGGTCAGCTTACATCATCTAAATCACAGCACCTTTAGAGGGAAGAGGTCTCCTCAGTGAGAGGAAGGGCCCAGGCGGCAGGTGGTAGTGGGTGTCTGAAATGGGAAGGAAGATTCTAGAGAGAAGAGGCAGAGGGAGGACTGGCAGCCCCCCATACACAGTATCCAACACTGGTTCTGGGCAGGGGGTCATGCTAACTGCAGAGGGTTCCCTTCCAGGTCTGAATCCTTCCCAGAATGAGTTTAAGAAGCGTCCCTGTCAAGATGCTTAAGACTTAGAAGGATAAAACACAAATGCATGGAAAGATCACTTGGTGACAAAACTCAGACTCCAATCACACAACCTGGGTTCGAATCTCCCTCAGGATTTCCTGCTGTGAGTCCTTGGGTCAGTCACCCAGCCTCTCTGAGCTGCAGCTACCTCGTGTGTAAAATGAAGAAGAACATCTCGGTACCTCACAGGTCCAGGCACTGACAAGTGTCTCCCACTCACGAACTCATTTCAGCCTCTGAACTCATCACATGTTCACCTAATACTGGAGGCATGTCTGACACCCTGCTAAGTACCAACTCTCCCAGCAGGAGGCCACATTTGCCCCTAGAGAAACACACTTTTCAGGAGGGAAACGGCCTCCGTGGTAGTTTCCAGAATGAGCCCTAATGCCTGTTGTGTATTCTCTGTCCAACAAGCAGAGACTCCCGGGAACCGCTCCCCGTGACCGTGAGGCGTACGCAGTGGGCGCATGATGGCCCAAGAGGCCCACCTGCTAGGTGCCGGGGGGGTTCCCTGCTGGAGGGAAGGGGACCAGGAGGTCTGTCCCCGTTCTGGATCACTGCAGAGTTTCAGGCCGACGGAACGGAAAAAGGCCAGAATGAGAAAGATCCCAAAGCAGGTGCTGGGACTGCTGTCCGCAGCCAGCGTCCAGCTGCGACCTGTGGCCGGTCAAGGAAGGGCTTCTGGATCACGGTCACTCTCTAACACTGACCCCGTCAGAATTCTTGGTGATTTCAGTATCCACCCAGATCAGTGATTTTCAACCGGTGTGCTGCAAGAATTTTTAAAACATGCAATAACTGACTATTTAGTCAGGGACACTGACCTCTATTCCTAGATTGTCAAATAAAAAAATAGCAACAGCCAACACAATAGCAGTACGATGGGAATGAATAAAATTATACCTATAAAAAGTTATACTTATATTTTGGCAGATTGGCAAAAAAATACAATGTTTTTGGTGTGCCCAAGTTCAGGAATTAGCGTATGTGTGCCATGAGATGGAACTGGTTGAAAATCGCTGACCTATGTGATCCTTCGCCTGTCCTGGCCTCTCTGCTCTGTGACTGCCTCTCTCTCCCTCTCTATCTCTTCTCAGCTATACAGAGCACAGATCCTAGACCTTATCACCCATAATCTCAAGTTCAAGGACTCCACTCTCCATCCACATGCCCCGGTCTTTCCTGGCTCCCTCCCTCTGTACACTGAGTCCAATCATCCTTCCAGTTGACCGCGATCTTCAATCCATGAGCCTGTGGTGTCTGACTTACACTGCTAGGTGCTCACATCCCCCCTTCCCTAGATAGTCCATCTTTCTTCTTTTCCTTCGATTTATGAGTTTCAGTATGTTTGTGCTTGGGAACCTTTTATTAAACGCAGTACTCTGAGATGTTATTGAGTGAATCCTGTTTTATAAAGTGCACTGATTATTCTTGATAATTCTTAATCATCACTGAGAGTCTTACTATAAAAATGTAAGTCCTAGCATACTGAAAAACTGAAGTTGAAAGTCCATTCTAGCTATGGAGCCAGTGTCTCATTACCCAATATTTTATCTTTTTAGAAAATGAGCAAATAAGATCACAGAGGAAGTTTCATTCACTACGCAATCCTCGGGGCATAGCGTGTAGTAGTTAATACATACTTCTTGAGTAGCATTTTGCTTTTAGGAATCTGTTCTACAGATATACTTGTCCCAGTGTATAATGTTATGTCTCAAGATATTTATGGTAGCATTTGTGAAAACTTGGAAAAACCTAAATTAATATCCATCACTAGAGACCTGCAGGGGATGATTGAATAATTAAGTTAAGGGACACGGAGATGGTGGCATGCTGAGCAGCCAGGAAAATGACTGAGGTAGACCTCTGTGTGCTGACATGGAATCATGACCATGATGTACTGTTGAGTGAAGGGCAAGTTACAGAAGACCATACATATACACGAGTATCTAGAAGGTTCTGGAAGAACATCCACAGTGTTACCAATGCCTAGTCTCCTCTGAGGAGTGGGATTTGGAGAAGGATCAAAGGAGAATATTCACTTTCCACCCTAGTTCTACATTGCTAAACATTGTACAACATGCATGTGTTGTATCTAACGAACAACAAGAGTCTCTTAAAGAGTTGCTGGATGGAAGAAGAGACGCAGAGGGCCGAGTGGGGGCACTCAGGCCTCTAAACTCACACCCCTAACCAGCACTCCATGCCTCTCTGGGCCTGCCAATCAATTCGCTCAGCAGCTGCACTAAGAACAGCAGCCACTGCCCCCTCCCCCTCAGAAACAATCCTGCTCAGTCCAGGGTAGATCAGTTCAGACCCTCTGAAGAAGAAACCACACAGGCCCAGTCGGGGAACCCAGAGGGCCCGCCCAAGACCTCCAACGTGGCAGAGAGACCAGAGGTTGCCCACACAGGAGGCCGAGACCTGTGCTGGCGGTTGGGGGCATCCTACGGGGAGGTGCACCCTTGGCTATATTGAGACCGGAGGTGTCTAATTAAATGTTGTAACAACTTGTCATGTGGAAACAGCTGCGCTCTAGGGGCAGGGACACCGCCCGATGCCAAAGAAACCTGGCCAGCTCCACCGCTTCCTGGCGAGTGACTCTGGGCCCGTGGCCCGACTTCTTTGTGCCTCAGTGTCTTTGTCTGAAAAACGGAGGTGACCCTAATGGCTCCACTGGGGAGCTGGGAGCTGGGAGATTAAATGGGAGACGGGGTGCAGAGTCTCTGGATGCACCCCAAGTGTGGGAAGTACTCCTCATGTTTGTTGGATGCTCTCAAGGAGGAATTGGGAGAACACATCGGCTTTCAGGAACATGCAGTCTGGCTTCAGTATGGCCTCGACATGCAATCTTAGGCCCATCGTTTAACTCCTCTGTGCCTCCATGTCCTTATTTGTAGGATGGTAATGGCAATAGTACCTCCTCATAGGACTAAGTGGCAATATAGGTGATTAATTGAGGTCAATTAAATCAATATAGGTAAAGTTTCCAACAGTGTCTGACACATGTATGTGTCATACATACAACACACACACACACACATATATTGCACATACATACAACCATAAATGTTAATTTCACTACTGGAGTGGAGTTTGCTTGAGATACTTTGATATCTGAAATCCTGGACGTAAGTCCAGAATCCTGGAAGTAAGAGGGGGAAGTTGGCCAGGGCTCGCTCATTTAACAGATAAAGAACCAAGAATGGTAACAGCAGCTGATGCTGACTGCACTCCTACTACGTGCGAGGCAGAGTTCTGAGCGCGTTATGCACATAGCCTCGCTTAATCCTCATACCAACCCCAGGAGGGAGGGACTGTCACCAGGCCCGTTTTACAAATGGGGAAACAAAGACACAGAGTTTAAGCAACTTTCCCAGGAAGAGCACAACTGGGAGTCAAACTTGGGTACTCTGTCCCTGAAACTTACAACCTTAACCACTATTCCATGTGGCCTCCTCAGGCCTGCCAATCTATTCTGCCCAAAAGCTATGCAAAAAAAAAAAAAAAAAAGCATCAACGTTCCCTCCATCCTCAGTGCTCCAGACCCTTCAGGGCCTGAGAAGCAGGACTTAGAGGAAGGCCCAGCAGAGGGAAGGGTCATCTGCCCATTAGAAGACAGAAGGTAGAGGTCAGGGAAGGCTTTGCAGAGGAGGGAGAATTTGGTTTAGACCTTGAAGAACAGGCAGGATATGAGAAGGCAGGGATGGGAATGGGGGTGGTAAATCCAAGAGGCCTCTTAAGTTTTTATCTTCTTGGCTCCTCTGCAGCATGTGACCATGACCTCCTGAAATCACTTTCCTACTCCTACAGGCTGGCTTTGTTGCTTGGAAAACACTGTAAATCCTCTCTAGGGCAGCTGCTAACTACGTGCAGTGCAGAGACGTGGGGACCCTCAAAGAAACTTTCCAAAGTGGCTCTTTCTGTTTGACGCACCCCCATGAGTACAGTTGTATAGGATAAGCTCACATTTCTGGCCATGAGCGGAGAACTGGGAAGACAGTGGAAAACAACCTCTTAGCAGCCAAAGAGATGTCAAAGTCCATCGGCTAACACAGGTGGGTTTATTTAAGGTTTGCTGTTGA